TCTCTCTTCTCTCTTCTCTCTTCTCTCTTCCCTCTTCACAACACCATCCTTCCTCCCTCTCACCTTTATAAACCACAACTAACCCTCCTCCCTCATAGACCCCCGTCTCCATGACCTCCCTCCACGTGCATCAAGACCCCCGCATATTCCCCTCTCCCCTAACCTTTGGCCCCTACCGCTGGCTCATCTCCAACCCCTCAGACCCCTCCACTCAAACCCTAGACAAGTCCCTCGATAAATACATGGTAGCGTTTGGCAAAGGATCGCGGTCTTGCGCTGGCATCAATCTTGCGCGCGCGGAGATCTTATTGACGCTCGCGACGATCTTTAGGAGATATGAGGAGCAGGAACTGGTGGATACGGATCGTAGGGATGTGGATGTTGTTAGTGATATGTTTTTGCCGTTTCCGGAGAAGGGGAGGGGTGGGGTTAGGGTAAGGTTTGGGTAGGGTTTGGGTAGGGTATGGGTAGGGAGTGAGTGAGTGAGGGAGGGATGAGGGAGGGGGGATAAATTGGGGGTGGGAATGCAGGGAGGGAGAATTATTGATGAGATTGAGAAGGATATTGGGGAAGGTGGATTCATGCGAGATTTTGAGTTGATTGATATTGGTGAACTATATGCTGATGTCTAGACGTTTAGCTTATTTAGAGCTTCTCATGAATATTGCATACATACATACTGTATATACAATCCATGTGATATGATACAGTAGATACAAACCATGAACACCTCTTTAGTTTCGTTTCAATACCATAATCATTAATATAATAAAAACATGTAATAAAGACATTTTCTGAAAAACTTTACTCTGCTATGTTCATGCAAATCATGTCATATCATGTCAAATCATGTCAAATCATATCATAGGAGAGATTATATCATATCTTATGAGTCAAATATTGAACTAAAACTTGAAAGTGGTATTGGTATCTACATATTCCCCGCTAAAAAGTACTATCATATCATGTCGTAAAGTCCTTTACTTGGATTTGATTCAAGCAAGGTATTGTGGTCCTTTCCACAGTCATTATCGTATCATATCATATCATCCATCATCGTAACCATAAAGCAATGTATCCAACACTAATCCTACCAAAAGAATGCTGTACTTGTACTCGTGGAGATATCAACTCGTAAACGCGTGAAGTCATAACCTCATAATTAACATCACAGCACCCCTAATACTTCTGCATTCTCCTTAAATACTCCGGATCATCCGAGTTTTCTGGATCTTCCTCAACAGCATCATCATAACTATAATCATTATCATCCACACGAGTTCTCAAAGACGCAAAAGCTTCTTCGAAATGGCCGGGAGATGGCTGGGAGTCGTATCGGGACGATTCGTAATGCGGAGCTTGGTTTTGTGCAGATTGGTATGAGGCAGGTTGGTATGAAGTAGATTGGTACTGGGAAGATTGTGCAGGTCGGTTAGAGTGAGAAGATACTTGTGCTCGTACTCGTGCTTCTGCCTGTGCTTGTGATTGTGCCAGGGTACGAGTACAAGTAGGAACAGTAGTAGGAGATGGAGGAGGAGGAGGAGGAATTGTGGCGCTATCAGAGTAATAGCGTTGAGAATGGAGGGCTCGGGCTCGGGCTGCGCGGTCGCTAGTACCTGGGGCTGGAGTTGGGACAGGAGCTGGAGCTGGGATGCGGAGGGTGCTGGCAGAAGGGGCTCGAAGTATATTGTTGGTATTGATGGCATTAGCAGCATTAGCAGCATAATTGCGACGAGTAGTACCAGTAGGATGGGTAGTACGAGCTACAGGACGAGTAGGAACAACAGGAGAACCAGGATAAGCAAAATCCGAGTAGTTCGTATTCGCAAAGAAATCATCCATATTAGCATCTCCATCCACGTCAAACATGTCATCGAATTGATCTTCAGAAGCTCGACCAGGACTTTGACTGTCGTAATTACCCTGTTCTCTGTCTTCAGACTCAGGAATTGGGGTTAATTCGTCGTTCTCCTCTATAGGAGAGAGCCCTCGGTTACCAAATGTCATGTCGTCATCATCGGCAAGGTCGTCCTCGGCAAAATCGCCATCTTCTGCCTTTTTCCTCGCTACCTCTAGGCGAAGCCTATCTCGCTCCTCTCTTCTTCTCTGCTTTGGTATTAGCGTCTGCTGGTATAGCCGATCTTCCTTTTCGTCCCTCTGGACCTGTTTCTCTGCCATTGCTAGTTCCTTCTCCATTCTTTGTAACTCTGAGTTTTTGGCCCTTTTGGCCCTCTTCTTCTTCGGTGGTACTACTACTGGTACCTCTTCTTCTTCCTCCTCCTCCTCCTCCTCCTCCAGCCTACTCTGCCTAGCAAGCGCCTTCCGCACGATACATCGAGTGCAAGAAGTACCCGCATACCCCGTATTATTAACAGCCAACTTCGTCGGGTCCTCCGGATCCAAAGCAAACTCTCCTCTCGGTTTCCAACTTCGTTCTCTGCTACAATAGCGCAACGGAGGCCCCAATGGATCGCCAGGATAGATAGGATGCTCGCGCTCGTCGACAGGATGAGGCACAAGCAGTCCATACGTTTGTTCCCATTGACGGTATGGATTTCGGCTCTTAAAAAGCTGCGGTGTTACACCGGCAGGCGCGGTCTCGGGGTTGTAAACCACGCTTGGGAACGTGGGGACGATGTTTTTGGAGGTTTCGGGTCTCCTTGGCTTCTTGGGCTTCTTGGCTCTGGTTTTATTGATACCAGCGTTGTTTGTGAGAGGGCTGGCACGTTGTCGACGCATTGCTGGTGATTGTCGACCGACACCGCTACCGCTGGGGTTGTTTGCTCGAGGTGTTCGAGCTGCTACGGTTGAAGATCGTAGACTACAAGTCCTCGAAGATGAGGCTGCAGAGTTGTTATTCATTGTGCAGGTCTTAAAAGTTAAATAGGGTGAAAAGAGGGTAAATAGAAGGTAAAAAGGGCTTAAAATGGTAGTTACAAGATGTGTTAAAGAGGTAAAATGGTGTCTGAAAGGTAGGTAAAGTCTCTCAAAAGAAACCAAGCGTGTCGAGCATTGTATAAGGAATAAGAAATAGGCTCATTACCGAGGAACTTAAAAAGACGTCGGTGGGAGATTAGATTCATCTAATTCACCTATTTACATTCAAGTATACTATCAATAATTGCCGAGGTTTACCAAAGAGGTGATATAATTTACAAAGATCAGATGTGCTGTACCGGATGTCGGATGTCCTTAACAAGGTGGCTTGTGTGCAATTATGTTGTGCATTTTGAGATGTTGTCTTTATTCTATTGTCTGAAGGTGTTTGGTTCCCTTTCGGTTATTGATATCTCTAGATGCTGTTATAAGATCTTTAAGATGATAGTTTGAGTTGTATAAAAGGGATATATATACTGAAAGATACTATTTCAAGTTTTTTCAATTAAAAGTTTCATTGTGTATAACTTACTTGTATATTGAGATAATTGTATTCAGATAATTTGAACATCTAGAGGTTTTCTAGTGAAATAGTTCAGATAGTAGTCTGAGCTATTTGAAGATATTATATATATTATAAGATATATGAACTTAAATATTTAGTAGAAGGTTTCAATTGTTTTTAACTGACTTGAATATCTAGAGACTTATAGTTAAAAAGTCAAGATGATAATCTAAGTTATTTGAAGAGATTCTATATAATATAATATATATTAACTTGACTATTTAGAAGAAGGCTTTAGTTATCTTTAAGATGATTTGAACATCTATAGGTTTTATAGTGAAGTAGTTTAGATAATAGTCTAAGCTTTTTAAAGAGATTAAAAATAATATAAGATATATAAACTGAACTACTCGATAGAAGATTTCAATTGTCTCGAACTTATTCGAATATCTAGAGGTCTTCTTTTGAAGAAATTTAGATTATAATCTGAGCTAACTAAAAGTATTATATATATTATAAGGTATATCACCTTAATTACTTGAAAGAATTTCTTAATTGGCTTTAATCTATTTGAACATCTAGACTGTTATAATAAACTAGTCTAGATAATAATCTAAGCTATTTGAAGAGATTTTATATATTAGAAGATATATTAATTTTACTATTTGAAAGAAGATTTGATTTGCCAGTGTCTTTAACTTATTTGAATATCTTTAAATTTATATTAGAATAGTTTAGATATAATTCAAGCTATCTGAAGAGATTTTATATATTGTAAGATATATCAACTTGACTATTTGAAAAAAATGTTCTAATTGTCTATATTAGTCTACTCGGGTATCCAGAGAGATTATATTAAGATATATTGAATTATAGTCTAGATTCTATAAAATAGTTCTATAGATGAAAAGAATATTGATCTTGTTAGCTTTTGTAAT